AGGCATCAGATAAGAGACGCACAGCGGTCCACAATAACCACACAATAACAAACACACACTCCCATTCCTGCGTGTGTATTCATGTTTGTGTGTGTATCTCTACTTGTGTTTCTGTGTGTATATATATGTGTGTGTGTGTGTGTGTGTGTGTGTGTGTGTGTGTATGTTTGTGTGTGTGTGTGTCTGTGTATCTATGTTTGTGTGTCTGCATGTATGTGTGTGTATGTGTGTCTATATGCGTGTTTGCATTTCTGTGTGTTTCTCTGTGTGTGTGTGTGTGTGTGTGTGTGTGTGTGTGTGTGTGTGTGTTGTGATGCTGCACTGACTCTCTCCTGCGTGAGCAGAAACTTCTGGAGACACACACAGAGGCAATAATGCAAACACTGATGTAACATAGAGCAGCACACACATACACACACACACACACACACACACACACCTGCGCTTGAGTGTAAGCGCCGCCGGCTCGTCTGGTGTTGTGTTACTGTAGAGTGTGTGTTGAACTCTGAGAACAACAGCAGCAATCCAGAACAACAATGAGGGAATATTCAATATTCCTGCGAACACTCGGCCTGTGTGACGCCATCACAACACAACACAACAACACACACACACACACACACACTGCAGATCACATTATACTACACAACACAACAACACACACACCCCCTGCAGATCACATTATACTACACAACACAACACACACACACCCCCTGCAGATCACATTATACTACACAACACAACACACACACACACACCCTGCAGATCACATTATACTACACAACACAACACAACAACACACACCTACTGCAGATCACATTATACTACACAACACAACACAACAACACAACACACACTGCAGATCACATTATACTACACAACACAAACCACACCCACAGTGTGTTTCTCCAGTGTGTGTTTCTGCAGTGTGTGTTTCTCCAGTGTGTGTTTCTGCAGTGTGTGTTTCTCCAGTGTGTGTTTCTGCAGTGTGTGTTTCTGCAGTGTGTGTTTCTGCAGTGTGTGTTTCTCCAGTGTGTGTTTCTGCAGTGTGTGTTTCTCCAGTGTGTGTTTCTGCAGTGTGTGTTTCTGCAGTGTGTGTTTCTCCAGTGTGTGTTTCTGCAGTGTGTGTTTCTGCAGTGTGTGTTTCTGCAGTGTGTGTTTCTGCAGTGTGTGTCTCCAGTGTGTGTTTCTGCAGTGTGTGTTTCTGCAGTGTGTGTGTGTCTGCAGTGTGTGTTTCTGCAGTGTGTGTTTCTCCAGTGTGTGTTTCTGCAGTGTGTGTTTCTGCAGTGTGTGTTTCTGCAGTGTGTGTTTCTGCAGTGTGTGTGTCTGCAGTGTGTGTGTCTGCAGTGTGTGTTTCTGCAGTGTGTGTTTCTGCAGTGTGTGTGTCTGCAGTGTGTGTTTCTGCAGTGTGTGTTTCTCCAGTGTGTGTTTCTGCAGTGTGTGTTTCTGCAGTGTGTGTGTCTGCAGTGTGTGTGTCTGCAGTGTGTGTTTCTGCAGTGTGTGTTTCTGCAGTGTGTGTGTCTGCAGTGTGTGTTTCTGCAGTGTGTGTTTCTCCAGTGTGTGTTTCTGCAGTGTGTGTTTCTGCAGTGTGTGTTTCTGCAGTGTGTGTTTCTGCAGTGTGTGTTTCTCCAGTGTGTGTTTCTGCAGTGTGTGTTTCTGCAGTGTGTGTCTGCAGTGTGTGTTTCTGCAGTGTGTGTTTCTCCAGTGTGTGTTTCTGCAGTGTGTGTCTCCAGTGTGTGTTTCTGCAGTGTGTGTTTCTGCAGTGTGTGTGTGTCTGCAGTGTGTGTTTCTGCAGTGTGTGTTTCTCCAGTGTGTGTTTCTCCAGTGTGTGTTTCTGCAGTGTGTGTTTCTGCAGTGTGTGTTTCTGCAGTGTGTGTTTCTCCAGTGTGTGTTTCTCCAGTGTGTGTTTCTGCAGTGTGTGTTTCTCCAGTGTGTGTTTCTGCAGTGTGTGTTTCTGCAGTGTGTGTTTCTGCAGTGTGTGTGTCTGCAGTGTGTGTTTCTCCAGTGTGTGTTTCTGCAGTGTGTGTTTCTGCAGTGTGTGTTTCTGCAGTGTGTGTTTCTCCAGTGTGTGTTTCTCCAGTGTGTGTTTCTGCAGTGTGTGTTTCTCCAGTGTGTGTTTCTGCAGTGTGTGTTTCTGCAGTGTGTGTTTCTCCAGTGTGTGTTTCTCCAGTGTGTGTTTCTGCAGTGTGTGTGTCTGCAGTGTGTGTTTCTGCAGTGTGTGTGTCTCCAGTGTGTGTTTCTCCAGTGTGTGGTTCTGCAGTGTGTGTTTCTGCAGTGTGTGTTTCTGCAGTGTGTGTTTCTGCAGTGTGTGTGTCTGCAGTGTGTGTGTCTGCAGTGTGTGTTTCTGCAGTGTGTGTTTCTGCAGTGTGTGTTTCTGCAGTGTGTGTTTCTGCAGTGTGTGTTTCTGCAGTGTGTGTTTCTGCAGTGTGTGTTTCTGCAGTGTGTGTTAATGTGTTTCTCCATCTGCTCTCTGTGACACAGTTTCACAATCACTCGTGAACTGAGAAACACACTGCCTGAAACCATGAAACCACGCCCTGAGCCTGCCACTGAAGAAGAGGGTTTTCACACACATCTTTAACCCGTACAGACGAAACACACAGAAATAATTATACACACACACACACACACACACACACACACACACACACACACACACACACACACACAGGTCTGAAAATGCAAAGACAGATGTAGATGTGTAATGAGTGCTTAATCCGCTGTTTATGTAAACTCTGACACTTTAATGTATCGTTAATTTCCTCCAGATTATAATAACTGTTATAAGAACATTTTATTTAGCAGGTGATTAAGATTGAAGTCTTCTGTCCCTCTTTACACTGTGGTGTACATTACATGTACAGTATATGTTCAGCATTTGACTATACTATAGTGTAGATCTGCCTTCATCCGCACTGGACCGTCGTTCAGGCTGAGATGTTTTATCTGTATGACTGTAATGAATTTTTTGATTGATCATAAAGTGAGTTCATCTGGTTTGTGTTAAACCTGATAGTTTGGCTAATGCCGGCTCTCCTGCGCTCTATAATCCGCTCTCCAGCACAGCGGCGGCTCTCAGAACCCTGCAGACGACGCTTCAACAGCTCTTCACACACACTTCATAAACTCAAGATGGAGATTTACATGGCAGACCCGTGTGTGTGTGACTCCGGCTGAACACACAGATCCACTCCCGCATAATCACGGTCACCTGGTGTTATGCATATTTTGAATATATTGTGTGAAGGGGGCCGATTATGTCTGTTCATTACTGCAGTCGGTCCCCCCGCCGCTCAGCGACCCGCTCGAGTTTGTTCGTGTTTGGTCGATTAGAATAAACCCGTCTGTGTTGGACCGGCGCACAGATCTCCAGATGTGTTTCTGCTGTCTAATGAACGGCTGCTCGCTAATTGCCGATAAATTCGTCACTGTGCTTTAATTGATGGTGATTGCCTGAACTTTCCTCTGTGATGTGATTAGCCGGGCTTTATCAGAACTTGTGCTTTATATTGATCTGAATCAGTCTTATCTGCGTTTCCTCGTTCTGCAGTGAATCTGAGAGTCGCCATCTGTTTTGCTTCTGTGAAATTACAGATAAACCGGTTAGCGGACATCGGCCCATTGTCTGTTGTTTTGATAATCACGCTTAATAATGCTGGGCATCAATATGCTCTTTAAACCTGATTTGTGTGCTAAATGGAGTTAGCGGGAGCAGCGGAGCGCGTGCAGCTCCTGTAATGCGGTTAGCAGTGTTTGTGGAGCTGAACTCAATCCCACATGAGCTCAAGAGTCATTCACACTCGCAGCCACATCATGAGTCCGAGAGCGGACGAGCTGCTGACAGAAACTTTGCTCAGGGAAACACTAAATATGAATGAATCGGTACAGAACAAGCCCAACAGAGATGAAGAAGAAAACAGGGTGTGCCGGACTGTCGCCCGCTCTCTGCTGAAATGAACAGCCGCTCGGTGCTGATTAACGCTCATAGTGTGAATGGGGCACTAGAGGAGTGCGCACCGCAAGAGCAGCTGAGCATTTCAGTCAGTGTTCAGGTGTTTGGGTCAGTGTTTGGGTCGAAGTTTCGATGTTCTGGTCAGTGTTTGGATGTTTGAGTCAGTGTTCAGGTCAGTGTATGGGTCAGTGTTTAGGTGTTTGGGTCAGTGTTTGGGTGTTTGGGTCAGTATTCAGGTATTTGCCTGAGTGTTCAGGTGTTTGGCTCGGTGTTCTGGTGTTTGGGTCAGTGTTCAGGTGTTTGGCTCGTTGTTCAGGTGTTTGGGACATTGTATTGGTCACTGTTTAAGTCAGCACTTAGGTGTTTGGGTCAATGTTCAGGTGTTTGGGTCAATGTTCAGGTGTTTGGGTCAATGTTCAGGTGTTTAGGTCAATGTTCAGGTGTTTGGGTCAATGTTCAGATGTTTGGGTTGGTGTTCAGGTGTTTGGGTCAATGTTCAGGTGTTTGGGTCAATGTTCAGGTGTTTGGGTCAATGTTCAGGTGTTTGGGTCAATGTTCAGATGTTTGGGTCAATGTTCAGGTGTTTGGGTCAATGTTCAGGTGTTTAGGTCAATGTTCAGGTGTTTGGGTCAATGTTCAGATGTTTGGGTCAATGTTCAGGTGTTTAGGTCAATGTTCAGGTGTTTGGGTCAATGTTCAGATGTTTGGGTTGGTGTTCAGGTGTTTGGGTCAATGTTCAGGTGTTTGGGTCAATGTTCAGGTGTTTGGGTCAATGTTCAGGTGTTTGGGTCAATGTTCAGATGTTTGGGTCAATGTTCAGGTGTTTGGGTCAATGTTCAGATGTTTGGGTCAATGTTCAGGTGTTTGGGTCAATGTTCAGATGTTTGGGTCAATGTTCAGGTGTTTGGGTCAATGTTCAGATGTTTGGGTCAATGTTCAGGTGTTTGGGTCAATGTTCAGATGTTTGGGTTGGTGTTCATTTGTTTGGGTCAATGTTCATTTGTTTGGGTCAATGTTCAGATGTTTGGGTCAATGTTCAGTTGTTTGGGTTGGTGTTCATTTGTTTGGGTCACTGTTTGAGTCAGTGCTTAAGTGTTAGGGTGAGTGTTCAGGTGTTTGGCTGAGTGTTTGGGTCAGTGTCATTTTTATTGATCTGGGACCCTTGGGAGACAACTGGACTACTAGTAACACCAGTGGGTCAGCAGTGACAGATCAGGGCCTTTAATAACTGATATGAGCCACTAGAGAGAAGTCTTGGCTAATATATGACCATTATTAGTTACTCACAGACACTGTGTGTGTGTGTGTGTGTGTGTGTGTGTGTGTGTGTGTAGAGAGCTCTACAGTGGATGTGAGCCAGCGTCTCCATTAAACTCTTCATCCTGTTCTGCTCATCAGACATCATCATCATCAGACCTCATCAGAGGTCGGACGCAGACCCGTAACGGAGTGTAGTGTCCAGCTAGTGATAGTGCGGGAGATCAGCCATGACAGAGGATGATCCTAATCCTGCCAGCCTTTAGAAGCGACGTGTGTATTATCTGAGGATGTGTGAGTCTCATTAAACAGCCATTGTGGAGCACACAGACGAGATGAAACGACCCAACGTGACCCAGCCTCCGCTTCTGCTGTTCACCACACACACACACACACACACACACACACACACACACACACACACACACACACACACACACACACACACACACACAGTCAGCGTTCAGTTTAAACACACACAGAACACAGCAGACGCGTGGCTCCTGTAGAATGGGGAAAGTGGAACTTCAATATAGCCAATTAAGCCCCGCCCTCTTAGTGCAGGAGCCAATCAGGGATGACTATAGACTGAGGATCCTCAGAGCAGACGTGTGTTCAGGACAGTTTGTGCAGCTTGTGTTTGTGCACACTGGAGTCTCAGTACACACACACACACACACACACACACACACACACACACGATGAGTGTATCCACAGACAGCTGCAGATCTCCACTGGCAAACCACCCAGCTGCACTGAGGAGCTGAAGCTCTCCGGCCTTATGATCTGTATGACATCATCGTGATGTACAGCCCGTCCTGTCAAACACACATCACTGGCGGAAACTAGCTAAACACACACACACACACACACACACACACACACACACACACACACACACACACACACACACACACACACGTATAAACAAAGAGCCGCTGTCGTTCTGGAGGAGATCGCCATCAGGAGTAAGATGTGCATTCCTTTAGGAGAGCGGCAGATGATCAATACTGTCCTGTACATTGATCACACACACACACACACACTAACACACTCTTACATCAGTGAATAGGCAGATGCAGACTCTGTGTGGGCCGCTCATTGGTGAACACTGATGCTCAGCGTGTGTGTGTGTGTGTGTGTGTGTGTGTTCAGGTCACCGTCTCCCTGTATAAGCGTGGTCCTCAGGGGTGGCTGGGTAAACCGATCATCGCCACGGCAACCATCCCGTCCAGCACACGTGTGATCTTCCGCATGCGTGGAGACGCAACCGAATCCAGGATCCCGTGTGGAAGAATCCGCTCCATCACACTGAGCATCTGAACACACACACACACACACACACACTCTCTGACTCACACTCACTCAGACACACACTTTAATGCTGCTAATAAAGCTCAGTTACTTTCCCAATCACTGCAATAACCTGCATTAATAGATGGACTGAACTGACAGCACACACACACACACACACACACACACACTGTTTGTTGTGCTGGCTGTTGATTGTGTGTTCAGTATGTTATGATCAAGCTTCACTCTGAGCTCTACACTCTTCCTCTCTCCTCTTCATCAGCAGTGTTGAGTTGATGCTGTGTAATGATGCAGTGCAATAAAGCGCAGATTTCTGTCTGTCGTGCTGTGTGTGTGTGTGTGTCTTTGGGAACAGGAGAGAACTTGAAGTTATTCAGAGTGTGTGTGTGTGTGCACATATGCGTGTGTGTGTGTGCAGGAGCCGCAGATCTGAGCTCTCGCAGTGCCGCAGGACTCCCTCAGTCAGGTGAGTTCATGTTCTCTAACTGCTCACTCGTGTGTGTGTGTGTGTGTGACGTTAATATTAATGCATGTATGTGAAGTGAGGAACAGCAGCTGTAGATTACATCAGGCTCAGATCTGCTGAAGACTCTAGATTATAGATGTGCTGAACACTGACACCGCTTCCTCTGACAGGAGCTGTACTGCACACGGCACCGGCTCGGTCCTGCTGAAACGGGTCGGTGAAGTTCTCCACCAGACAAAAGAGAAGAGGAGACTGTAAAGAGAGCGGAGCACAGCGCTGAGACATGCCCACGAGCTGCTCACCACAGTGTGTGTGTGTGTGGATGATGACGTGATCATGTGTGTGTGTGAACTGCTCTGGGCTATACCTGTTACTCGACACACACACACTCGAGATCACACCGGATCATCCAGAACCGCTTTTGGAGGTGTGAGACAGGAGCAGACACATGCCAAACCAACATTAATGACAATAAACCACATGATCAGCACACACACACACACACACACACACTCAGCTGATCACAGTGGAGATGATCAGATATAGCGTTGATCCTGCTCCATTAGCTGTGTTCTGCTGGTGTTCTGCTGGTTTAATGGTAATATGGTGTCGTTGGCTGACTGTGCGGCTCTTCCTCAGTGAACTCCACATCAGCGAGCGGAAGAGCAGATGAGGACATTACTGCTGAACAAGCAGCTCACATCACATCAGCAAAGCCAGAGTCACCACCGCTGATCAGAGAGAGCCACACACACACACACACACACACACACACTGTTCAGCACACCAACACACACTGCAGAATAGTGCAGGAGTGATGCCTGATCCTCTCTGCAGACAGTGTGTGTGTGCTAGAGTTTGCTTGTCAATCTGTTTGTGTGTGTGTGTGTGTGTGTGTGTGTGTGTGAACAATTGTGAATGCCCTGAATGAAGCAGCTGTCATTAAGCAGATGAAATAAACACACACAGATCTGCACGTTACATGAATAAAAAAAAGATTTATTGATTTTCAGAACATAAAAACACACTGGAGAACAGAACACACACACACACACACACACACAGATATACACACACGTTAGACAGACAGGCAGGCAGAGTGGTGGAGGAGGGGTGTGTTCAGGGGTAATCACTGCAGCTCAGCCAATCACGTCGATCTGTGAACACCAGAACACACACACACACACACACACATCACATGAGTATATAAACACACACACACACACACTGCTTGTCACTGAGAGTGTGTGTCTTGTTTCTAGTCCAGATATGTAAACTCTTAAATCACGCAGCATCTTCTAGATCAGGGGTTCCCAAACTTTTCAGCTCGTGACCCCCAAAAACAACAAGGCCAGCGACTCGAGACCCCCACATTCCTCAGAGCCAATTATAAATATACAAACACTGAACACACACACACACACACTGACAGCACACACACACACACACACACACTGACAGCACACAACAGTCTAAACCCTCATCATCGCTAGATCACTGCAGTATTAATGCTAGCGTCCGCTAATGACAGCGCTGGACTCAGCACAAGACGGATGTTGCTTTAGTTTTGGAGACTCAGAGACGGTCCTCAGTGTTCATGTTTAATGTGTTTGATGGATAAAGGTGTCACGGAGTGATTTATTCGACTTTCAGAAATCACCAAGTGACCCCCCGTCATTGTCCTGCAACCCCGACTTTGGGAAGCCCTGGTCTCGACAAGCACACAACACGGTCAGATGTTCAGCGATAATGAATGAGGAGAGATTTACTGCAATAATCCAGCAGTGAGGACAGTCGATAATCTAAAGCCAAACAACAGTTCACTAACCCAAACACACACACGCGCACACACACACGCACGCACGCACGCACGCAGGAGCATCACTGAACACACACACTCAGCCTCAGCTTGTGTGTGTGTGTGTGTGTGTGTGTGTGTGTGTGTGTGTGACTCACTTGGGCTTGGTCTCTGCATCGGTGACCTGGCGGATGAACACAGCGTCAGCGGGGTGTGAGACGTCCCCCAGCTCCTGCATGTATGAGGAGGCGATGGCCAGCAGAGAGCCGTCCGTGCTGAAGGACAGAGAGGCGATGCTGCTGGGGTACCGGTGGAACTGACACAGACGCTTCTTATTGAACGGGTCCCAGATGTTGACGAAACCGTCTGAACCACCTGCACACACGCACGCATACACACACACGCATTAAAAACACACCTGTTATGCAGAAATGACTTCTATGAAGCATTTAACCCCAGCAGTGTGTGTGGTGTGTGTGTGTGTGTGTGTGTGGTGTGTGTGTGTGTGTGTGTGTGTGTGTGTCTCCAGCAGCCTCTGATGCTCAACAGTAGTGAACTGTGTTTGTTGTATCAGACTTGATGCAGAAGCACTGTGATTGGCATTCTCTCTTTGTACGTGTCATCAGAGGGGGAAAGCCCCGCCCACTAGTCTCCATCTCATTAGCATGTCCAGCAGGCCTGAGTGAGAAGCAGCCGTCTGTCCATTCGCCATTAGAGTGTTTGAGCTGCTGAAGATGATGTCAGCATAGACTAAGAGCATTATAGATGTGCATGTGTAATGGCAGGCTTTGAGTGATGAACTGCAGTGTGTGTGTGTGTGTGTGTGTGTGTGTGTGTGTGTGTGTGTTTACCGGTGGCAAAGGTGTTGTGCACGCTGTGGAAGGAGATGGCGTTGACCGGATACACCTGCTCGATGCCGTTCTCCTTCAGTCTGTGGCACTTGAAGGCGTATTTCTTCTTCTGCACCTCCAGACTGGGGTCCAGATACTCCACAGCCACACGGCCCTCGATGGAGCTCAGCACATAGCCCTGAACACACACACACACACACACACACGCGTCATTTATAACATTATGTTGTGTTGACTCTAGGGTTGCGGTGTGAGCGGTGCGTGCGCTGAGTGTGTGTGTGTGACCTGTTTGTTGGGGAAGGCCCGTATGCAGCGCGTCTGGTACTTGAGGCTGGACTCGCGGCGCTGCTGCACGTATCCCATGTTCCTCAGATCCCACACCAGCACCCGGCGACCCGCCGTCCCCACGATCAGACGATCCCCCGCCACAGAGAGAGTGTACACCTGACGCAGAGAGAGAGAGAGAGTGTATGTGTGTGTGAGACAGTCTATATGCGTGTGTGTGTGTGTGTGCTCACCTTCTCAGGCTGTGTGAATGTGCCGGCGTTGCAGGGTGTTCGCGGGTCCCAGAGCCGCACCGACTGATCCCAGCTGCCCGTCACCAGAACATTGACCTCCGGGCAGAACTCCACACAGCGGATCGGGGCGTCGTGTGTGCCCACGATAGTGTCTACACACACACACACACACACACACACACACACACACACATCAAAGTACACTAATGAGTGCTCTAGGGTCAGAGTTAGATTAAAACTAGAAACATGGCGGACAGATGCAGTATAGGCCAGGTGATCAGTGGAGCGGCTCAGGTAAAGGTGTGTGAATGATGAATATGTGGGCTACTGCAGTATTAGAGACCCTCATGTGCTGGTGTACTGATCTGCAGCGTAACAGGAGCTGTTTACACATCCTACACAGATCAACAACACACTTCAGTCTGCAGTGTGTGTGTGTGTGTGTGTGTGTGTGTGTGTGTGAACCGGAACACAGACGCTGTTCACACTCACCCTGATCAGTGTTCAGGTCATGAGTCTTCAGCTGACTGTCCAGACCACCGCTCCACGCATGGGTTGGGTCCTGAAACACACACGCACACGCACACGCACACGCACACACACACACACACACACACACACACGCACACACGCACGCACAGTCATTGAGAGTCTCCAGTGTGTATTCTGCAGTGTGTGATTGGGTCGTGCCCTACAGAGAAAGCGCAGTCCAGCACGGGCGCCAGGTGTTGGTACTTCATCCTCATGCTGTTGGCGCTGGCGTCGTAGAGCCGCACGGAGCCGTCCCAAGAGGACACCAGCAGGAACTGAGAGGAGGACGGGCTGAACTTCACTGCCGAGACGCTGTCCTCCGGGCCCTGGGCCAGCTTAAACTCATTCGCTCCGGTCATCTGCACGCACACACACACACACACACACACACACACACACACACACACACACACACACACGCACACACACACAATCATTACTACAGACACTCAAGGGCACTCGCTGACCACTACACTACTCTCCAGACCCTCAGTAGAGCTCCATCACCATCATCATCATCATCATCACTACTGTGTATAGAGCTGCAGGGTCCTGCAATAATGTGATTCTGCCTTGTTTTCTTCTGCAGTGTGAACACAGCTGAGATACTGCGAGTCTGGCGGTGTTCTGGAGTCTTTCAGTATTAAGGCAGAGAAAAGCTTTTCTGACTTCGTTTTGTCTCGTTTCTAGTCCAAATATCAAGATGATTGTGGAGTGTTCACCGTCAGAGGAAATCAGTGAAATGAGGAGTTTGCTGCTTGTTTTAAGGAGATGATCTGTCAGCGTGAAATAATCCTGTTTTCCTAATAATCCTAAACCCTGCAGGGACACCGGACCTCCAGGACCAGGATTGGTGACCCCTGCTATAGCGGATACGCACACTGCCATATCCATGCTGAAACGATAGATTGAGCAGCCCTACTCTCAACAGACCCTCACTAGTGCACTATTCAGACCATCACTAGCGTTATTCTTGTCACAGACCCTCAGTAGTGTTCTTCTATCATAAGACAGACGCTCACTAGTCTACCAATTAAACCCTCAGTAGTGCTCTTATCATATTACAGACCCTTGCTAGAGCACTAATCAGACAATCACCAGCGCTATTTTCATCACAGACCCTTACTAGTGCTCTTATAACACAGACCCTCACTAGTGCACTATTCTTAACACAAACCCTTGCTAGAGCACTAGTCAGATTACACTAGTGCTATTCTCATTACCGACCTTCACTAGTCTACTAACAGTTAATTAGGCCCTCAGTAGAGCTCTTATCATAACAGACCCTCACTTGTGTATTACTCCAGCTAGACCATTATCCAGCTGCTCCTAGAATGAACACAGGAGAGAAGGAACCAGACACCCTCAGTTAGCATCCGCTCCCCATAACTGGACTCGCTGTAGCCCCGGGAGCTGTGGATCCTGACTCTCGCTGCTCTGATCATCTCTCCCGCGCTGCTCAGAGCTGAAGCAGGCGAGTAAACCTCTCTCAGACACTCGCGATTGGTCTAGTATTAATATTAATAACAGTATACTGATATAATGCGCGTTAGCTCTCACCGTGCCGCTGTTCTCTGCTGCTGCTCTGCCGCTCATCTGGGCTCAATTTGATTGGCTGCGTTCACAGCAGAGCTCTGCTCTCATTGGCCCGTTTCAAAACTCCGTCCAACGGTCTCTACTGCTGACTGGTTACGCGCATCAACTTCCTGGCGCGAACGAGCACACGAAACAACAAATCACCGCGAGAAGTGACGTGTTTCCGGCGGCGCATCAGCCGTTTGATCGACAGCTCAGGTATGGATTAAATCTGTTTCAGGATTAGTGAGTTTATATTTCCGTTAACCGGAGAGACCGAGTGGCGGAGAGGAGCAGCCGCGACTCCCCTCAGCTGTGGGCTTGAGTAGAGAGTCAGCGCCGCTGAGGGCTGAGGAGGACTCAGGTGTTCAGTTAGTGATCAATACTGCTCCTGCGTGCCCGCTGATCACCACACAACACTACTCTACTGTGAGAAATGACCAAATTCTGTGTTCATACATGAAGAGTTTCGCGCAGAATCATTCATATTCATCATATTTCATATAATATTTCACATAATGTCAATAATCCGCCCTCGAGTCGCATATTAAACGATATTTCTGTCACTTCCGTTTAATTCAGAAATTATCCGAATGTGTAGCTTGATCTACATATTATCTACATTTCTCTGTGTTCATTAACGTTATTAGTTTATGTCTGAATCAGATTATTATCATTATTATTTTATCAGTATTATTTTATATTTTATTATTATTATATTTTTACATAGTTTGGGTTATTTTATCGATCACTTTTACAATAAAAATGTAAACGAAATGTAAGAAATAAAGCACAGGGCTCAATAATAAGGACTGCCCTGTGGCCGGGGCCAGTGTGAGATGTCTGGGACAGTGGACAGGAGGATTATTACTGGCCGGATTGGGACAGTGCCGGCGTGTCACTGAAGTTTAATTAGCCCGCGAATATGCGTCAATAGTGTGCATTTTAAGCTTGAGCTTTTATTGTCTTAAAATGCTTCCTTCTCTGTGTTGTCGTAAACACAATATTGCTTTTTGGATCCTCTTATCTGATTTGATGTTTTGAACATGATTTTTTTTAAACCGTGATAACAGCCACAACGAAGAGACGGCCACATCAGATCATGAGGCTAAAATAAAATGTCTGTTTATAACGGCTTGGAAGCAGAGATTTACATGAGGACACAACAAAAAATTAAGCGATTTATTTATTTATTTATTTATTTGCACAATATGCCAGTTAGCCACGTTTTGTTAAATAATTTCAAACTGCATTAAAATACCTCATTTCCATTCCGCACTTTTTGTTTGCAGCACTGGTTTTTGCTCATCATACTTTTATTAACATTTTTTAAATATTGAAATTAGATTCACCGATTTATTTTTTACACATTATTTAAAATATGTAGCTAAAAATAACTACTAACTTTCCTTTTTTGTTGTTGTTGTTGTTGATGGGGCCAGTGATTTTGGCAGGGCAAGTAAAAATCTGAACCATTGGCCCGATCGAACCAGAAAAGATTCTTTAGTGTTGAACCATGAAAGCACACAATAGTCTATTCCCGCAATTTCCCGACACTCTAAAACATTTACAGGTGAAACATGCTGGCGCTTATAAACCTCTCAGGTCACTCAGATAATCCATCAGGAGACCCTGTTATCCGTGTTTGATACAGTGATTATGAGTTATGACTGCGGTATTAATCTGCTGTTTTATGAGCGCATCAGATGATGATTATTTACGCGGAATATTATATAGATTACACGATTAATTTAGGAGACACTTCTGTCTAAAGCGACTCACAAATGAGTATTAAATAAGCGTCAATTACAATTAAATGTGTGTGTGATGATCATAATTCAGTGAATTAATCAGGATAATAAAATAACGCAAATCAAAATTAATAATAATAAAGTATAAACTCAGTCCGTCTGCTCTCCAATATGCTTTAGCTGAAGAAAGAGCCGATAGATGGAGAGATTTCATCATACAGGTGGAGAATTATTCTCATGTGTCGGCTGTTATTCGGTTGATTATGTTTTAATATTTTAGCGTGTTTAGAGTGTTTAATAAACGCGTCGCGATGCCGTGAACTGCGGGATTAATCGGGCAACGCGAGCGCGCAGCTAAACATTACATTAAAGATAATTATAGAAATATCAGTAATAACCGGCAGATTTTATAAGACTCAAACCCGCACTGACAGATCCTCTCCTGATCAACACATGATGATATGTTAAACAGTCTTATATGACGCAGAACACCTCAGTGATTATAATGAGGAGATTGAACAAGTTCAACATTTATAACTCAGTCTGAGTGATCTTCCTCCGACAATAATATTATAAATACAATAAATAACCCCGCGCCGTGACCATTTCACCCGGTACAGGAGAATACACAGAGAGACGACACTGCTGAACACACGCGCTTTATTACAGCACACACACACACACACACACACACACACACACACACACACACACACACACACACACACACGCCAGCTGCAAAACAATTCAGTATTTACAGAAGACAGTCACGGTACATCTGCTGGGTTATTTTAACTTCTAATGGGTCAAACATGAACACAATAGTAAATAATCGCAGTAGTTGGGCTTAAAATATCATTCAATTTCATAATAAAATAATGCAGCCTTGTCCATAATAATCCAGCATTTGTCTACGTTTGACTCAGCGGTGGGTTAAAACAGCCCAGCATGTTTAAGCGGAGAGAGCAGGTCTGAGAGCGGGAGTCCTGACAGGTGAGCGCGGGACGGGTCCACTGATGGGTTTACTGAACGACACACAGCAGAGCTCCAGCGGACACTGAACACACACATGTACACCTCCATCTCTGACAATCACAACACAAACATCTGGAGATCCGGTTAACATTGCAGAGCCGATACTGATGATGATGAAGATGATGAAGATGCGCAACTCCAGAAATGAAAGACCGCACTGAAGCCGTGTGTCCAGCTCAGGTGTGCTCCTCCGACAGGTGCCCGAGTTCTACAGCGGGTCTGTCGGTCCTCACACGGGTCTGATGAGCGGGTGCGGGTAGTAGAGCGCGTGCTCGTGGTAGATGACGGGCACACGCACCACCCTGTGCGCATGGCTGAGGCTGGCGGACTCGAGCTCGGCTGCGATCTGCCGTTTCCACTTGTTCCTGCGGTTCTGGAACCAGATCTTGACCTGCGTCTCGGTGAGGTGCAGTGATGCGGCGAGGCCGGCGCGCTCCGAGCTGCTCAGGTACCGCTTCAGGTCGAAGGTGGACTCCAGCTGGAACACCTGCGCGCGCGAGAACACGGTGCGAGTCTTCTTCTTCCGGCAGAGCTTCTTCACCTGCGCTCGAGCCTCCTCACAGTCACTGTCCTCCAGCGGAGCTTCTTCATCATCATCATCATCCTCAGCGCTGGGCCCCGGGGCCGCACAGTCCGGCTGCAGTGTGTCTGCGGGGGCCCTGCGCATGCCTGACACACACACACACACACACACATACACACACACACACACACACACACACACAGAGAGAGACACATACTCAGAGTTAAACTTACTCATCATGACTGTAATCTGACACATCTAAAGTCAGCTCAGACTGTCCAGTGTGTGTGTGCGTGTGCGTGTGTGTGTGTGTGTGTGCGTGCGTGCGTGTGTGTGTGAGTGTTTGTGTACTCACCGGCGGGCGTCTCCGGGGCTCCAGCGCAGCACCAGGGCCCCAGCCGCAGGAAGCCCAGCTCCGGCACTCTGCAGACGGGCATCGGCGGGCGCTCCGGCCTGCTCAGCAGGTTCTGGATGGAGAACGGAGAGTCTTTCAGTTTCTCCTCCATCAGGAGAGAAGTGGAGGAGGAGGAGGAAGAGTCACACACACCCCTCAGAGGACCAGCAGCAGAATGAGGAGACACACACTGCTGGACGGACAAGAGGAACAACACCACCACCAGCAGAAGGAGGAGGAGGAGGAGGAGGAGGAGTGTAGAGAGAGAGAGAGAGAGAGAGAGAGAGAGAACACCCGGAGGAGGGAGAGAGGTGTGTGTGTGTGTGTGAGAGAGAGAGAGAGATAGAGTCTGTCTGTGTGTGTGTGTGTGTGTGTGTTTGTGGGTGATTTGGTTTCTGCCAGACTTTGTCGTTGAATCTCATCGGATCATTTGTAGATCTGTCTTTATTGCCTAAACTAAACTCTGGGCTGGGCTGGGCTGGGCTGGGCTGGGCTGGGCTGGGCTGTTGTAAAGTAACTGGGTTAACGTGATCTTCAGTGTTGGGCTCCAGCAGTTCAGTGTTTGGCAGTAAGTGTGACGGGTGTGTTGGAGTGTTCTGCAGTGGGGTATTGCCTGCTGCCTCTACACTCGGCACACTGATACTGGCTTACTGGGTCAAATACTGGAAAAGCAGCCACTGGGTTAAAAGTGTGATTTAATTTAGGTGAAAAATGAGCCCAATATTGAGTTTGGCCCAGTGCTGGACTGCAGAGTAAGCTGTAGTGAAGTGTGCTGTGTCATGGGGAAGTCCAGCTGCTCCTCACTGCTGTCACTGTACTCGAGGCGTGATGGGACAGTTTTCAAGGTATACCGCGGTTTGGACAAATCAAGGTTTAAATACCGTCTAAGCAGGGCCGGCCCAAGCCTTTAGGGGGCCCTAAGCAGAATTTTATTTGGGGCCCCCTTGGTGCAGACAATATGATAAATTATCATAAATCCTTGATTATTTGCACACTTTAAATTTAAAACACGCATTATCAATTTTATTTGCTGTAGCTGTGTTGCTTACATTATAAAATATGCTCTTTTTCTCACATATACTTTTTGTATTTTCTAGTTCAAATATCTAAAAAAATCACTTTAAATCAAAATCAAATTAAATCAAGAAGCATTTTCCACAGAAAATCTGTCTAGAAAATGTTTATTCTTTAAGATTTTCTACATATTTGGACTAGAAACAAGACAAAAACAATAAAAAGGAAAGAATTTTTGCAGTATTTACCAACTGTCAATGATTCATAGTACATGGCTGTGAAATTTGATCACAAGAAAACCAACCATGATATATTAAAATTTTTGCAAATGAAGAGTAAAAAATGCATCAAAAAGTTATAAGATGCATTTCTTTCATTAAAAGCATGTTTATAGTATTGCAGCTGTGTAAAAAAGCACACAACTGTTCAACAAGCTGAAAAATGCAGATAGAGGACTCATCTCTAAATTAATCAGAGCAGCAGCATCACAATTACCCCAGTGAAGCCTTTTAATGACACTGTAAGCTGTATAGAAGTGTCTTGATGAATATCTAGTCTAATATTATTTACTGTCATCATGACAAAGAGGAAATAAATCAGTTATTAGAGATGAGTTATCAAAACGATTATGTTTAGAAATGTGTTAAAAAAGCTTCTCACCGTTAAACAGAAGTTAGGGAAAAAATAAACGGCGCTAATAATTCAGGAGGGCAAACAATTCTGACTTCAACTGTGCATGTTAGAAAACAGTTAAAATAGCAATGTATTGCTTTCTAGTTTTCTGTAAACTAAAGACATTTATTACAACTTGGCCCACCTATTTGATGTATTTTATGCATAGCGCTGGTTTATTTTTAATCATGCTAAATGTTGCATTGCCACTAGATTAATATATTTTCTTCAAGAACAGTAACTGATTGTAATACTCAGAAAGGTGAGCACAGACTCCTCTGAGCACTTATAATGCCTCCAGCAGTGGAGAACATTAGTTAATTACTCATCCATTTAAAAAGAGCATCATTTTTAAGTTTTTCTTTTTAATTTCTCTAATATTTTCAGCAAAAATATCATCTACAAGACTTTGCAAAGGTCTGCAAGGGGTAAATAAATGAAAAACCCTTCAAATTATGTGTTCTTGTCCTATTGATATCTTTATATATTCTGGCGGAAATAAATAGTGTGAGCCCATATTCCTGTATGAAGTTTCACAATTGTAATGGCTCATCTGTCAGTGGTTATAAAGGCTGCTGCGTCCCTGATGTATTGTTGATCCACCATAACGGGAAGAGCCACCTGGTGGCAGCTGGGTGTACTGCAGCCACAGCGGTAAATAGCTGCAGTCAGAGTAGATTAATTAATTCAGATCTTTTGTACATTTAGATAAATATCGATTCTTGGCGCCAGAGCATATTGATATAGTTGCCCCACCCATAACATATAACCAAACTCTCCAACAAACTAAATCAAAAGTTAGTAATTTCATGCTCTCTTGGGGGCCCCCTGGTGGCCATGGGCCGGCTCTGCGTCTAAGTTTTCTGTAACACTCTTCTTTAGTCAGGTGTGTGAGATTGTTTCATTTACGTTTATTAGTTAAATATTAAATAGATAAAATATCCAAACATGCAGTTTTAAATTGTGCAGAAATCAGTGAAACTAATGAAGACAGCAGAAGACATCCTTCACTTTCATTATTCAGCCTGACATGTGCTCTGCTCCACAACATCATGACTCTTTCAGGAAACAGAGGGAAAGCATTAGTATTTTACCCATACATTTAAACAGAAGATATTCAGAGCAGTGAGCGCGGTACCGTGAAGCCCTGATATTATTACCCAAGGTTATCACACCGTCTTATACCGGCCCGTGCCTGCTGGAGACTTCTTACCCCTGAACAGACACGGCCACTGCGCACGGCGGAGCAGTCTAGAGGAGTCACTCTACAGGCCTGAGTACAGCTCACACACAACAGCCCAGCAGCAGCGGCGGGCTCAGGCTGTACCCAGTGTGTGTGTGTGTGTGTGTGTGTGTAAAGCAGAAATACTGCAAATGAACCTCCTCAATAATGAAATGACACTTTCCTGCCGTTACATTATATTTATTTCAGGACAGAAGTCTACAGTGTAATAGAGACATTGATGATAACACAGCGCTCTCACACATGTCCTGAGCTCTGCTGTGATGTGAGCGTCACTCGCTGCTCATCTGTGTTTATTTGCAAACACTGCAAGAGTAGCTCATCCGCGCAGACTCCACACTGATATCAGTAAGAACTTTATTAAACATGAATCAAACGCAGACGCTGAGCAGAACAACAGAAGGAGGAGAGATACAGGAGCACAGGTGTCACACTCAGCTCCTGGAGGACCGCAGCTCTGCACAGTTCAGCTTTAACCCTGATTAAACACTCCTGATCAGACTAATGGAGTCCTCCAGGCTTGTTGGAGACCTGCAGGTGAGTGTGCTGAAGCAGGACAGGGCTGCGACCCTCCGGGAACAGAGTGACTCCTGCAGTAGGAGAACAAGAACTCTCATGATCCTCTGCTGCCCCCTGCTGTTAACAGCGCACACACACACACACACACACACACACACACACACGTCATCTGTAAGGCACAGGCTCCATCAGGAACTAATTTAAACCCACATCTAGTGTTAACATGATTCAGAGACCTGCTGTGACACTATACACACACACACACACACACACACACACACAGAGAGAGAGCAGCGTAATGAACGCCAGGAGGAACATGGTAAAGTGCATAAATACAGAAGTACACTGATGAGTGTGTTGACACTGTGATCATGAGTGTGTGTGTGTGAAGTAAACAGCAGATCTGGGTTATCCGCCGTACTCCTGGTCGATCATCTTGGCCATGGTGCTCAGCTGGATGTTGGTGGTTCCCTCATAGATGGTTCCTGCGGGACCAGAACACAACCAGTCAGATAACAGGATGATCAGGTCACGTCCCGCCCTCTGCACAGCACAACTGATCTTCATCATCATCATCGTCACTCACCGATCTTACAGTCTCTGTAGTATTTCTCAATGGGGTAGTCTTTAGTGAAGCCCACACCGCCCATCCACTCCAGACACTTAGAGGTGGTGAGAGAGGCCACCTGCACACACACACACACACACACACGTGAGCACAGCAGCTACAGCAGTGACCGCTCACTCACACACACTCACACATGTAAGCACAGCAGTGACCGCGCTCTCTCTCTCTCTCACACACACACACACACACCTCAGCGCTGTAGTATTTGGCCATGCAGGCCTCTTTAATGTAGGGTCGTCCCGCCTCCTTCAGCCGCGCTGCGTTATACGTCAGCAGCCGTGCCGCCTCCAGCTGCGTCGCCACATGAGCGATCTGATGCTGCATGCCCTGCGCACACACACACACACGTGAACCAGCATGATCATGTGACGCACAAACACAGCACACACACACACACAGCAGAAACACTACCTGGAAGTCAAAGATGCGTTTGCCGAACTGAACCCTCTGCCTGGTGTACGGGACGGTCTGATCGAAACAACCCTGAGCCAGACCCAGCATCTGCACACACACACACACACACACACACACACACACACACACACACACCTGTCTTCAGGTGAAAGACTAATGATATTACTGCTGTGATGAGGCTGTTTACTGTGTGTGTGTGTGTGTGTGTGTGTATCAGACCTGCGCTGCGATCCCGATCCGGCCTCCGTTCAGCATCCCGATGGCGTATTTGTAGCCCTGGCCCACCTTCCCCAGCACACACTCCTCAGGAACCTGCAGAACAACACACTCATCTGGCCACTGTGTGTGTGTGTGTGTGTCACCTTCATGTTGTTGAAGGTCAGGGATAGGTGTAGATGTAGGTGTGTGTGTGTGTGTGTGTGTGTGTGCGTCACCTTCATGTTGTTGAAGGTCAGGGATAGGTGTAGGTGTGTGTGTGTGTGTGTGTGCATCACCTTCATGTTGTCGAAGGTCAGAGGGCAGGTGGACGAGGCTCTGAGCCCCAGTTTGTTCTCCTTGCGGCCGATATGGAGACCCTCAGTGTCCCGGTCCACAATGAAGCAGGTGATGCCCCTGTAGCCCTACACACACACATATACACACACACACACACACACATTAATAACACAGTGTTGTAGAGTGTGTATATCACAGTCCAGCTGTGTGTGTCTGTTTATGTATGAGAGTGTGTGTGCGTGTGTGTGTGTGTGCGCTCACCGCCGCCGGCTCCGCGTTGGCCATCACCAGGAACACTCCTGCATGCTCTGCGTTGCTGATCCACATCTTGGAGCCGTTGATGATGAAGTAGTCCTTGTGTTTCTGCGCTTGAGTCCTGAGAGAGAACGCATCGCTGCCCGCCTCGGCCTCCGACAGGCAGAAACTGCCCACCTGCACACACACACACACACACACAGAGAGAGAGAGAGAGTGTGTGTGTGTGTGTGTTCTCACTATGTCGCTGGCCAGTCGGGGCAGGTATTTCTCCTGTGTGTGTGTGTGTGTGTGTGTGTGTGTGTGTTCTCACTATGTCGCTGGCCAGTCGGGGCAGGTATTTCTCCTCTGTGTGTGTGTGTGTGTGTGTGCTCACCATGTCGCTGGCCAGTCGGGGCAGGTATTTCTCCTTCTGTGTGTGTGTGCCCAGCTGCATCATTAGCGTGTTGATTAGCGTGTTCTGGATGTCGCACAGCACCGCCACCGACGCGTCCACCTTCGCCAGCTCCTCGATCACCAGCACTGAGGAGAAGAAGCTGCAGCCTGATCCACCGTACTCACTGCCGATCTCCATACCCATCAGCTGCACACACACACACACACATATGCATAAAACAAACATACACACATATATACAAACACACACGCTCACAAACAGGGCTCGGACCCTGGAACTAAAGGTTGAACCCCAAAGTGCTCAATAATGTTTAGCTCAGGGTACTGTGCAGGCCATGTTCATCTTCACTGTCATGTGCATCAGACCGCTCTGTCTCCAGTCCTGCTGTGTGTGTCGCTGCATCATCATCCTGACACACACCACCGCCTTCAGGACACAGTGACTGACCCACTGGGTCACATGCTCCTCCAGAATGGTTGGGTAGTCCTTGGCAGTGACCCAGCGCCCATCCAGCAGCAGTATTGCCCTCGGGAACACCATGATGTTGAGCCCAGACCCTCCCTGACCCTCCATGCTGGACTCTGGGCATCAGCGGTCTGGGTGGGCCGCTCCTGTGGGGCTTCTCCACACCGTAACTCTCCCGCATGTGGGAAACACAGTGAAGCTGGATCATCAGAGATCAGCACACGCTCCACACCGTCCACAGCTCCAGATCTCCACCGCTGCTCCACTGAAGCCGGCGTTCGGCGTGGGCAGGAGTGAGCGGAGGTTTGGCTCATGTATACTGACCCGGTGGAGCTCCAGAGCAGCAGTTCTGCTGGACACAGGAGAGTGGAGCTGCACATGTCATTCTGCAGTGAGTCGGGCCGCTGTGCTCTCATGTGTTCTGGCTGAATCAGGGTCAGCAGCTCTTTCAGCTTCCTCCGGCCTCCACAGCTCCTCCTGCTGGATCTGCTGCTTCTTCTTCTTGGTGGTCTGCTGACGTTACTCTGGACACCGCGGCTCTCGATCATCACACACACCTGCTGTCTCGCTCACAGACACACACCAACACCCTGACCTCCTCTGAGCTCTGCTGTGTCCCCATAATGCAGTGGCCAGAGCTTCAGTTTCAGTGTCCAACCCTAGATAGACAACTAACTCTAATGAACACTTGTTTTACACAAGAGTGTGTGTGTGTGTGTGCGTGTGTGTGTGTGTTATGGACTCACTCCTTGCTCAAACAGAGCTCTGATCACTCCAGCGTCCATCACAGACTCCTCATCCATCTTGGACACCAGCGGCGACACACACTCCTGCGCGAACCTCCTGACTGAGCAGAGCGGAGCATTAGAGTGTGTGTGTGTCTTTAAGTAAGTGTGTGTGTGTGTGTGTGAGAGAGATAGAGAGTCTCACCCGTCTCCCTCATCATGCTCTCCTCCTCTGAGAAACTCTGCAGGGGCTGAAAAGAGTTTCTGTTTCCATCCTGAAGAGTTTCTGTAGCCGCTGCGCGCGAACACAGCAGTCTGACAGCGGCGCGCGCACGAGAAACCTACACACACACACACACACACAGTTTACTGCATCAACATGATCATGTATGATTGAGCTTTGGTGTATAGTCGTGTGCAGTGGTGGAGAGAGCAGTGATCAGTCAGACTCCAGTAGAGCAGCATGACTCTCCTACAGATGCAGAGTAACAGTGTCTGCTGTAAACATCACTCAGAGTATGAGTGAACAGTCCAGCTTTCAAGAGGAGAGTATTGCGCTGTGTTAAGCGCGTGTGTGTGTGTGTGTGTGTAAACCAAACATTCTGTAGTGCATTTAGTGATTGTCCAGCACACACACAACATCATCACATGTTCATATCAGGTCAGATTTAGGTCGTGATGTCAGGTGACCGATATTCAAGGTCTGGCCAGCGTCTAAGAACAGCGTTATTCTGATGTCCAATGATGAGGTCAAGTGATGTTGATGTTTGGTTGATTTTAGGTTGTCAGCAAGTGACCGGAATCCTACATCGAGTCCACATCTTAACCCAGCGTCATACTGAGTCAAACACTGACATTTATTCATCAGGTCTGGCGACCGACATCCAGCATCTGATAGACGTCATAGCGGTAACCTCCACACAACGCCAAGCTGTAGCACCATTAGACGTTGATATCTGCTTGGTTTTGGGTTGGATGTTGACATTGGCCTGCTGTTGTGTTCTGATGTCAACCCTCCAAACTAAACGCAGCATCCTCATGACGTCAGGGTACAGCGTCAATCTGACATCATGTTGTCATCCTGTGCTGCTGTGCGTTTCAGTCATCATGACCATATTTTTCGGAGTTGCCCTCATACACAATGCTTTTGGATTGAACTTTCTTTAGATATTTATCGTAAAATACTACCAGGATTCTTGTTATCTTTTAAGGATATCCTGCTGGTTTTTTTAATGCTCCTGATGATAAAAGTAAGGAATATTTCATTATTAATCTCATTTTAATCCTTGCTAAATTCCATATACACCGCTGTAAATTCTCTCAGCATATACCTTGTTTTATTGTTTTTGAAAAGGAAATTCAACAGTACATTTGAACTATTGCTTCCTCTAAAATCTTAAAGCCATTAGAACGGTTAACTTATTTTCCTTTTTTAATTTTCTTAACACATAAGGTAATATTATTTGTTTTTCTTTTCATTGTTGTTTTCTTTTCTCTTTTATGTGCTTACTTGAGTCTTTGCTCCTCTGTAAAACTCATGTACACTCTTGCATTTCTATGATGTTATTGTTACCCTGACATTAAAATAAAATAAAAAAAGTGTTTCAGTCCTCATACAGTAAACATCCGCCATCTCCTCATCAGTGACCTGATCTAACAGTCTCTGGGTCAGTGTGTGGAGATTTTGGATCTTCTTGAACACATTTAACGCTTCCACACAGTTAACTGTAATTATAAACCGCCCGTCCAGACACTGAGGTGTTCATTAGGATGAGTGATCTGATTGGTCAGGAGTGATCTGATTGGTCAGGACTGATTTCTGTAATCAGACAGGAAATAATCCAGTAGTGATGCAGACTGGAGGACAGTAGAGGAGGAACAGAACCGATACTGCAGTAAACAAGAACTCAAGACAGAGTAAAAGCACACATTTATAACACTACACAGAGAATTACGATTCCTGAGAAACACTCCTCCATTACTGTAATCTGAGTATTTACAATGAGTTCCTTCACACCAGTGCTCGTGTGTTCAGGGGACCGGACTGTGTGTCCAGGTGAATAGCCGCGTTTCCACTATCGCGCCTAAAGCGAGCGAGCCAGGGCGAGCCAAGGCCAGTGGGGTTTCCACTGTCACTTCCGGGGCCTAATCGGGCCAAAGCGGGGCTTTCTTGGGGCCAGCGGCCGGCCTTTTTCGGCCCGCCGAATACCTTGGGCCAAGGAGGGCCAGCTGGGGCTTCGGGGCGGAGATAAAGGAGAGGCGGGCAGTTTTCTGATCGCACATGAGTACATGCGCCAAACAAATAAAGAAATAAGGGAAAGAAAACATCTAGCCTTATAGTCTGGGATCTTTTTGCGTATAATAAAGTAGTTTTAATTTATAGTGACGTTCTTTGCTGCGTCCTCCTTTATGTTTAAATAACGCATAATAATCTTTACACCATATTAAAAACACATCAGACAGTAAAGGTTTTCGAGAGTTTTTGTCAAGTTTAAAATGTTTGATTGTTTGTGCACGTTTAGATGCCAGTATGTGTGTGAGACCGGGCAAAAGCGCTCCTTCACAGCTCTAGCCGCGAGCGGCTTTTTTCTTTATTTATTTTGGAGATAATACACATATAAATACAACAGAAAGACATAAACTTAACAAAATACGTGCCCACTTTCGTAGACTTTAAACAATATATTGTCATATCTTGATAAAATAGCCTAAGGTATATTGAAATATAATTTAAAGAATTACAAATACCGGATATGTATAAAATCACATTAAATAAATTAACCAATATAAAATAAACAAAAGCTAACTATAACAATGTAGGTAGCCTATATACAATACATAAATCAAACCGTTTTAAAGCCACATATAGCCTAACTTTCATTTTGCAAAGACCTGTCTGAAAAAAAAAAAAGATTTTCGATATTTTTTAAAAACAATAAACACCGGAGAAGGTTTGAAATATTTATATAAAGTAAATATTTATATAAGTAAATATTTATAAAGTATTTGGATACGATGATATTAATCAAATCGCGCAAACAGAGCATAATTTGGGTGAGTGAAAGCAGAATCTCCTATACCTTTTTTCCTGTCACTCAGTCCTGCGCAGCGCTCGCTGCTTTAAACGCATATGGGGGAAAGTCCAAACACAAAACGTGTTCTATATCCTCAAACAACTGTTTATGTTTTTATATGACGTGGTTAAATTTATAAATGAAACTTTAAATGAAGAGTTTTAGTGAATAGCTGCCGAGCGCAACAAATATGTCTATATTTTATTAGGCTTCTCGCTCTTGTGCTGAAAACTTAACACGACTTCTATCAACACGAGGATGTTAAAATATACATGCCATATCGAGTTATAAAGGAGAATTTCTGTGGCTTTATATTTTGGATGTGTGCGCTCTCTGTGTTGGGTCCCTGCGTTAGTGGCGAGAGCACTCCATGCACAATGCAGTCGGTCGGCGAGTAAACAAATGTAATGAATGGAAATACACAGGTCTGTGCGTACAGACATATAATGTACTGCTGTACAGTTACGTGTCGTTTGTTTGTTTCGGTTGTCTTCATTTTAATGGTTTCGTTTCGTGATGATTCTATGGTCTGCTTTATCTGCCTCATTCCCGCTGAAGTGGGCGGGTTGTGTGACGTTTGATTCGGGGACGTTCTGTGGGCGGTGTTTGCGTGACGCGCTGTGAGCTTTAGCCCGACAGTGGAAACGCGACATGATTTCAGCCTCATTTCTCAACCTCCCGGGCTATTGGCCCGCCCCGGCCCGATTAAAGCCCTGGCTCGCACTGGCCCGATAGTGGAAATGCGGCTAATGTGTAAACAGAGTAACGGGTCACCGGCGGAGCACACACACAAGGTCATCCCGGGATCAGTTCCGGGACAGCATCAACTCAATATCAATATTAATGTACATCTCTGATGACTGCAGCGCGTGCTCGTGTGAAAGTTCCCGCTAAAAACACAAATAAATGAGAAGCGCCAGAACTGCAGACAGCGGCGCGCGCGCGTGCGTGTGTCCTGTAGTCCAGCAAACACCGTCCGATCGCAGCTCAGCTCTGTGCTCTCATCTAAATATTGAGTTTCTGGTCTGGTGTTCACTAGTGTGCACTACTGAGCGTTATTAATGATACGCGGCCCGTTTAGTGCGCACTTACCTGTCGCAGCATTCTGCACACGGCCGCCATTACGGCTCTGCGTCACCGCGAAATGAGTCCGGCGGAAACAAACACCAGCAGGAAACACTGAGATGATGATGACGATGATGGAGACGACGCTGGGTTATTTCAGTACTCAGAGACTGATCAGACTTCATAACTCAACACTCTTTATTGTCATTTGAAAATCAGTGCAGTGATGATCCACTTACAGACATGAGAGAAACAGAACCTCTTATTGATGAATGAGTTCATCACTCCTGCTCAAGAGTTCCTCTCTCCTCATGACACATCATCAGCGCTCTACAGTCCACATCTGACCCGTCCTGGTCTACTGAACACCGCTCTGTCTGGGTTATTGATCAGCTGGTGCTGGTGTTGGTCAGTGTGTGTTCCTCATCAGCTCTGCTCAGCGCCCCGCGGGCCTCAGACACCAGCACAGTCCGCATCACTGGCCCCGGGTCAGTCCTGCCGGTGTTCAGGCAGCGGTGTATGCGCTGCTCAAACTGCGCCTGCACGTGCGCGGGTGTGTGTGTGTGTGG